CGGATTAATATCGCTGTTTTGAATTGGTTGAAGCTACTCCAGTCAATGGTGGGTCTCACCTTCATGTTTGCTTTCTGTAAAGAAACAGCCTTAAGTAAAATCTTGGGGATTGTGACATTAAAAAAGCTCCACCACTTTTTATGAGCCGTGGAAAGGCTTCCTTCTCCCAATCTGACGGTGTATTGGTGAAGTGGGAGATAAGGGGAAGGGGACTGTTAATGAACGAAACTCGAAGATCCTCCGAATGAACTGGTTTACCCCCATTTTGAGGGCTCAAAAATCGGATTCTTGCGACCTAAGAACAATTGTTTCCTAGGGATCGATCTTGGGTAAAAATGTGACTAAAAATCCCACTTTTTTGAGGCAGCATAACATCAGGGGCTATTCCTGAGCTGCCTGTCTTAGAAGGTCCTCTATCATACTCCAAAGAAATGGCAATCCGAACACGGTCATCTGCAAAGGCAGAGTAAATTAAAGTTGGAGAGACATGGCTCGCACACATGCGACACGTCGTATCAGAAGTAGATTAGCCGAACCCGTCAAAGTATTGGCCATGGTATGGCGAGCAGCCTTGGTCATTGAACCTAGCAATCCTGACCGTAGCGTCCCATGCATGGCTATTTCCAGGTGTATGCAGTGACATTCTAAACCAACTATGACGGGTAATGTGCAAATAAGTTCGCTTTATAAGACAGACGAGGGTTCATATGAACAGCAACTACACTCTTGTCAAGTGGCGAAAGATCAGTTTTGAAGACGCATGTCGCTTAAGTCCATCTCTTCTTTGTTATCGAGATCTTTAGAGCAGTGGTAAGGTTGGAGGTATTCTGAAGTGACCAACACTCTAAAATTGTCCTCAAAGGCGACTTTAAAGCTAAACATGAGTCTGTTCCAAAATAAGGTCTAAATAACACGTGAAGGATATTTTATTTGAAGGAGTTCCGTCGCACGCACAGTGCGTTGAAGCCCAATTGGGTCTACTTTCAGTGCTAGAGAAGACATACCAGGTATAAAAAGACTCAGTTCTATTCTTACGTAAACGTCATTAGCTCTCCCTTTGAGACAAGCAGTGAACGTAAGCATATCCGGCTGATTTGTCCGGGAAATGGTCGGCCTGGAAGCTGGTTGTATAAAAGACGGTCTGGTTATCACTGAAATCTCAGTCATAGGAAAGGCATGTCGCCAACGGTACGGTTGGACAGACGGACAGACGGACTGATCTGTCACAAGATCCCCGTTAATCATAGTTAGGTTGACCGATTTGACCAAAATGTCTCCATGTTGAAACGGCTGAAATGGCGGCAACGGTGCAGTTTTAATATGCATTAGCTCCTATGGATCCAGTGTAAACAGCGTGTAGTCGTCTCGGATGCTGGCGGGATATAGGACGGCAATCACCGGTACCGGACGCATCTAAGGCCAGCATAAACGGACAGCTTTCTCATTGAAATCTCTGGTATAGTAATGATGAGATGCCAACGACGTTGCTAGACTGACGGGTCTATCTCTAAGATCCCCATATATATTATTTGGCAACGAAAAGGTCCCCATGCTGATATGGTTGGACTGCCGATGTCGGCTTGATGGTTGGCGATGTCGGGACGGCCGGTAGCGGGTCTGCAATATTAGGAATTGTATTTAACGGATCCGGTATGAACCCCATGCACCCGGACTTACATGCCCGAAGTCCATACTCGAACATGCGGTGGGATGTACACCTCTTGGTCTGCCTTAAATTTGGGAATACTCTTCACTGAATCGGTATAGCCAACAACGAACCATAGGTTATCTTGTTTGATTTATTCCGTCTTTCCTTCCCTTCAATGCCGAAAGGACGATTGCTTTGAACGTACATTTTATGAGTATAGTAACATTTCACCTGAAACTACAGAAGAGAAAACAAAACATGGATTTGAAAATCAGTATGTGCCTAACTAGCTATTAGCATAGATTGGCAAATCACTATTTGAATAATTAGCTAAAACGGAAGCTCCTACTTCCACAATGAATTATTGACGCTGCATATCATAAACGGTATATACATAGTTTGAACAAAACAATAGTCTTGGAGCTCTGAAGTTTCATATACATCATTTAAATTGATATTCTTCTGAAACGACGCTAAAATACAAAGCAGAAACTAGTAGTGCATTGAAATTACTAAGTCGCTAAAAATTGTCATACCAAAATCATAGGGCTCTGTTTTAAGAAGTATGCAAAATGCTTAGTTAATGATTAAAAAATAACTATTGAAATGGCATGAAATATGAATAAACCAATCCTAAATATAAATCAGCACTTCAGAATTTCGCTAAGAAGAGATCTGTAACAGTCTTAGTAAGTCAAAGGTACGCTAACTCATAATGACTTGTATAAGGTCAACGATAGTGTGGTGGGATGGTGGTCTTGAAAGGGGACAAAATTCCTCAAAACTTGGCATAAATTGTAAAATAATGCACATAACGTGCAGTACATAGATAAGTCCGCACAATAAGTATAAAATGAATTTCGGATGGACCCAGAGGAAAAACAAAAGAAAAGAAAAACGGTTCGATTGTCGGATGATGAATTATACGATGTGTGCTATATACAGCAGGAAAACATTAAAACTGGCGACACCTGGTGTTATCTAGGGGAGGTAATGGGAAAGAGTTACTGCCCTCTGTCTATTTAAAATAGGATGACACGATTTTCGTCTTTTAGAAGGGTTGGATACACGAGGTGAGAGGCGTAATGTGATTCGTGAACGTATTCGAAGGAGAAAAGTTATGTATTATAAAAGTATCTGCTTTCAGACTGAGTTTGTTATTGTTTTTATGAATTTCACATAGTTTTGGAAGGAAGAATAATTTTCTAACAATTGAACATCCCCCTTCAAACAAAATAGAAAATATTGCTTAGGATTTTTTTCACATACTGATCGTTGAACTTAGAAAAGAAAAACGGGAACGCAATAAAATAATACATTTCCAGCACGTAAGCTATTGTTATACGTGGAAAGACTCTGGGACAGGAAAGTATGCTTAACTTTTAACGAGGTTTTTTCGACTCACACGAATAAATAACAGCTAGTACTGAAAACATCTCTGTACGTCTGTTTATCTGTCTGTCTATATATATATATATATATATATATATATATATATATATATATATATATATATATATATATATATATATATATATATATTAAACCGTTATGCTACTACTACTACTGCTACTACTACTACTACTACTTACTATTTTATTATACTTCTTTTTCTTCTTCGTCTTCTTCTTCTTCTTAGCAATTATTTGAAAGTAACTCGGAAATGAGTACAGAAAATAAATATTTTTATATCTGGACAAGTAATCGCAAGAACCTCTCAAGATTCTCAGGCAAGAACACTTAGTCCTTCAACCTAAATATAATTTAGGGTTTACGTACAGCTACCAATATTCAAAGATGTCGCAGGATCTATTTCTTTTTAAATATCTTGTGCGTTAAAATTTTCCATCATAACGTTACTGAACAAGTCTAAGTCTGACGAGTGCGAGCCACATTATAAGCACTCTGTAGAAGATCTCCTATTGTCAAGCACATGATTATTTATATTCTATACAATTTTATCGAGGGAAAATTGGATTTGGTTCTACTGTAGCCTGGACATGGACAATAATAATTCTATGCAGTGGCAAAGTATTTCGTTCAATACCAATTAGGAATGATGAGTTTCCTTGGAAGACCAAATGTAAAAAGTGTAATGTGTTGTTTCTGTGTGGCCTATGATCCATCAATGTATAAAATAACGTAAATCTTTATTACTTGTGGACAGCGATTGAGTTTATGGTTGTTTATGTATACGGCAGCTGGAACTATTGAGTTTGTAACGGGATAGATGTATAGTTTTGAACGAGATTAATATATACCCTGAGCTGTCCATGAAGAAACGTGGGAAGTATATTTTATTTTTATTTAAAGCAAAATGGGTGTAGAGTCAATGCATAATTGATTATAAGGTTGGAAATCTCACCGCCATTTGTTATTGACAATTACAGCACAAAATATGAAAACAGAAATATAGGACATTTCTTTATGTCTACTGAACGCATTTTGTATTTTGCTGACATCAAGTGACTATGGATATTTTCTGAAGCTGTGTATGTTAGGTAGATCCAGTCCAATAATATCATAGATTGTTACGAATAAAAAAGTCCTCAGGCATTTAGGGTAACTAAATATCACAACATACTTCATCAGAAATACAGCAGTCTTGACAAGGCTAGAGGCGTCCAATTACCACCGTAACCTTTTCCATGGAGAAATAATTTCATTCTATGCTCTGTTAAGCAATAACTATTACAATAAAATTGTTTTCTTCTTTTACATGATGACCGAAAGCGTTACAAATGTGACGAAGTAATTTGCTTGTACCACGATGAATATGTAGATACGAAAGCATGCAAATACTTCCCAAAATCAATGGCAAATAGCTAAAACCTGGCAATCTGTAACGTAGAATTGATAAACGAAATCAAATGTTGTGGGCTTAACGTTATATCTCAACAAATAACTGGCTCTACATGGATACTAGAATAATTGGTGGTGGAACAACCCGTAAAAATCTCAGGAAGAACCACAGATACAAGACAAGCTTCTGGCAAGCTTTCTCACATAACCACATAGGCCGAACCGGAGGCCATTCTGCTACCAGGGGCCACCTAAACTAATAAAAGCCCAACGACTAAAACTTATGTAATGAAAAGTTGCAGAGATACAAAAATATAGTAATATTGGTAACTGATGCCGGATAAAAAAATAAATATGTTTTTAATTAGACATATATTTCTTTTATTGAAAATTAAAGCTATCATAGCAGCAGCAACAATCCAGAAAATAGTTCACTTCTGTAGTACAGTAGTGTTTCCATGCTTGCCGAAGTTATTATTCCCCTTACAATTTTTATTTATTTAGAGATAATGTAAATCATTTTGCAAATGGAACGTTTCCTCCATCATACGACCGCTCCGGTGGCCTATTGGTTAGAGTGTCCGCCTCGGATGCGGTGGGTCGTGAGTTCAAACCCCGACCGAGTCATACCAAAGACTTCAAAAATGGTACTAAAAGCTGCCTCACTTGGCGCTCAGCATTAAGAGGACTGACTGGTCGGCCTGGTGTCAGGATAATGTTTCTGGTTGGGACATCATAGTTTTTCTCCAGTTTGCATGGAATATTTTTTTTTAAATTGTATACTATTGGGTTTATATGTCATTGCCAAAAGTGTACAATGAAAACTATGGTAGACTTTACATAACTTGGTATCATATCTTCTTAGAAATGGTAGTAATGAACCACTGCAAAGTAACTAGTCATTACTCTCACTTAATGTAAAGATCAAGACAAAAAGTGCCAGGATAATAGGTCAGCCCTAATATTTTAATAACTTTACCTGAACCATTTACGATGCGACACATTCTATCGCACATCGGAGCAGATAAATATCTCATTAAGTAACATTCTGAAAATAAGGCGCAACATTCAGACATAATTTTTATGGTATATACGTCTTAATCTGAGGCCAGTTCAAATGATTGTCTTCCATTTTTAAAGACGATGCTGAACTCGACACGCTAAAACGAACTATGGAAATATTATTTACACTGATGCGAAATCAAAGAAAACGTGAATTCATTTTTCATTTAATGCTTGAAGTTAAATATATATGCATAGTTACGCAGATGTAATTAATTTATTTGTGTGTTAGCTTTGAATTTCTTGTTCTATTTTCTAATCATTTCATTACATTTTATTGTAATGATAATTTTATTGGATGTATTTAACATTTTTCTAATATAGAAAATCCAGTTCAGTTTTAGTAAATAATACTGCTGCTACATTTTTTTTTAGCCGACCTTGGTTATGAAATTTGTAAACACTAAGTGAAAGTGAATTGTTATTACCAAGGTTATGTTCGGCCCGCATGTTAGCCATGTTGTAAACAGTTTTTATATTATTCATTTTCAGCGTGAGACTTTGAGTTTTTAGATAGGGCTATTCTAAATTACGCGATAAATGGCATTTATTTAAATTGCGCTGTTCAAATTAGCGATCATTTTCAAGTAAATTAATCAGTCGTAATTCATACCTTTTGGAGAGCAAATGTACTTTGGATTGTTGACATTTGAGTTTAAATTAAATTGTATTTAAAAAATTAATTTTCCTGTAAAATAAGTTCTTCTTTATCAAAGTCGTTGACAAAGACATTCAGTGGAAATTATTTGGAATCCTAAAGCCGGAATATTATTCTTGATTCATAAAATTCAAATAAATAAGAACTGTTAACATATCATTACAATATATTCATCTCATCGTCCTCCATATTGGAGCTTTACCGGGAATTTAACTTAGATTTATTTAAAACATTTTAGTGATAGGACATTTTTCTAGATTCCAGGATTAAGTTTTGGGTTATATTTACAAAGTGTAAGTCCTTTTTCACATTTTTATCTTTTATCCCAAGATAATAAATTATTTTGTTAACATTTATAAAGCTTGTTGGTTTCATCTTTTCTTTCGGAACTTTTGAACGAGTCTACAAGTAACATAAATAAAATTGGGGCTCGTCCGGGATATATGAATCTTGGCTAAAATATTTCATTTCACAAAGTTGTTTTATGAAATTTAAATTTCCCTAGGTGTTTAATTCCAAGTACTATTTAATATTTTAGTTGAAATTTTTAGTGGAATCAACAGGCCTTTTGTAACAATGTCATCATGTGCTGTCCATTTATGGCACGCCAAATTTTTCACATTTAATAAGCTGCAGGGATCGTAACTTTTTTTTATATATCACTATACCGTTTCACTTTTAGACTTTGATTATATAGGACGAGTATGACATATAATGCTGGAGACAGTGAATTAACTAGTTTTCGCAACTTCTTTTTAACTGCAATCTGTTGTATTTTTCAGGAAGTTATTTGAGTGTTTATTTTTCCTCTATATCTACTTAAGTCATTCGCTTAGACTTTGATTATTCTAAATTTCCATTGTACATGCTTTTAGATGTGTTGGAAGAAAAATGTTTATATTGCAGCATGTCCTTACAAATGTGACAAATTGTTAAAACAACTTCATACAAATGCGTAGGGGCCACGAGTGGCCGATTGGTCTATAGCGCTCACCGTTACGGATCACTGCCATCTCACCTGTCTGTTGGGGTCGAGTCTCGGGCTCATCTAATGTTGGTACGCGAGAAAGCTTTCCAGTAGCTTCTCGTGGGTAGGTGGTTCTTCCTCCACCAGTAATACTGGCAGCCATGTATAGCCTATCTTGTGCTGAAAAACGGCGTTCAACCCAACAACAACAATAATCTTACATATGTGCCAATATTTTGCATCCAAATTTGTACAAAATCATGATAATTCCAACATTATTGTACTAGGCTGAATGAAATTCTAGTAATTGTATACTTTTAAGGTGACTTTGTTCATTAGGAAAAGAGCTAATATGCACACTGACATAATTATTTGAGGAATTTCTAGTACAGTAAATATATCATTCAGAAAATAGATGCAGTTAAGTATCGTTTTTTTCCTCCAGAAAAACACGAATAATGCTGTTTCGTATTTCTCTCCCAAATGATTTCAGGAGAGAAAAAGTATGGAACAACTGGGATACATTCAGCAGAGCTATGCTGCGGTTACACATCAATTAAATTGATTTAGTAAAATTAAAAATCATTCATTGTAGGAAATTTTGTGAGATAAAGTATCATAATACTTCCTACATGTATTGTCCTGAAATGTTAGAAGATAAATTGAAACAGTAATTCAATGAGACAGATATAATCAAGGACAAAATAGAAAATGAAAAAAACCCCAAAACAATTAGAATCCCTTTTATTTAACGTTGAAAACATTGTTCATAACGCAGAAGAAACATAGAAACCATTTTAAAAAGCTATGGAATCGACTAATGAAAGTAATCCAAAAAGGATCTTACGACACACCAATCAATACATGCAAAACAATATTTCAACAAAAAGTAATATTTTATTTCTCAATGGACACACACGAAACAATAAAGTCAATAAATTTTACTAAGGTTCAGAGAAACCAAAAAGTTTTTGATATGATATTTTTGAAGAACGTTAGTTAAAGTTTCATGATAAAATAATTAATTATTCCATTCCCCTAAACAATTTGTTGTCAACTAATCCAGCTTGTATTTACCTTCTCTATCTCACACTGTTATCTATGTAACTCATCCATTTCGAATAATATGGCTTGCCATGTCCATCCAGGATATGAACGTTATTTTGGTGTTTACCAAGCAGGCTTACGTGATATTTCCTAGTCGCACAGATTTAGTCCATGATTAAGACATTGGCCATGATACACATACCCATATACCTGCTTTTTGGAAAGAACGACCTACTAATATGATCTCATATGATATTTCTGCTGACTTGAGGTTCCAAATGTCGTGGTGCAGAGATTAGGAAATATATCCCATATAAAATATCAGACTTAAGCTTTGATAGGGCTGTCATATAAAGCGATTTAAAAGACATTTAATAAACATCAAGATGTGAAAGATTATCGGTACAAGCAATTTTAGCTGAGGTCGTTTAATATTGCCTTCAGCATGCTGTTTATACAAGAATGTCGCTAAATTCGTTGGATATGGCCAATCCAAAGGCCTGGAGGCAATAAGTAAGACGATTATTCGTCACGATATTAGATTTCATTTTCTTGTCCTAGATACGAGTCATATCCAAAATTGGGGATCATCAATTTAGATGTTGGACAAATCATCCATTTACCACAGGAATATTGTAAATGCCAGTTCTTTATTAGACAGAAGGCACATTCTTCAAACATATGGAATATATATATATATATATATATATATATATATATATATATATATATATATATATATATATATATATATATAAAATGACCTATAATCGATGAGCCATCTCGAGATCAGTTAGTTTCTACAGATTTCTGTAAGTGTAAAATATATCACGGATATTTCAGTCTTATATCAGTACTTATAGGCTATTAGGTGACTAATAAGCAAATTTAAAGAATTATTTAAAAGAAAATGTTCTGTCAGCAAAAAATTGATTTTATCTGTGCGCGGCCGCAATTTTCTTGCTTTCTTGGTTTAAACCGCTTGGTTTCAATGTTCTAAGGCGGCTTAACCAATAAGATTCCTTTTCTTTCCTGATTTCAGAACTCTGGTTGGGGTTGTGAGCAATTGCAAAAAGTGTTATATCAAGCTTTTAGTCCTGTAGAAATAGTCATGTAAATTTTGTTTATCTCAACGATATTTTTGTTTATTAGTTTGTCTAGTATCCGTTATATGCTTGCCTTTGGCAAAGACTCATTTACAATCGAGCCCTTGCGTATATATATATATATATATATATATATATATATATATATATATATATATATATATATATATATATATATATATATATATATATATATAAAGAATACAAATCATATGGCGAATAACAACCCTCTCAAGCGTACTGGATCCACCAAGGGATCACGTCTGTCAGGGATTAATTAAAATAGATGCAATAAACTGACGACGAACAGTACGAAACTAGTAACTAACTAGCCTAAGCGCTTTCGACTCTTAATGAGTCTTTTTCAAAGGCAAATACAAAACATAGTTACGACAAACAAATAAACACAAAAACGTTGCGTTTGTAAACCTCTACATTTCTATCTTCACATGTGTTAAAACTATAAATACAACCAGCTTGTGTAGACTAGTTGCGGAAACTGAAAACGTTGTATAATTCCCTAAAAGTCTACAAGCCAAAGCGACATCTATTTTTATTTTGTGTACATATGTAACGCAGATTATATCCCGGATATTTGGTTCTATACCGGTTATTCTTATAGTAAAAATTGAAGGATAAGAAGATTTAGAAAATGTTAAATTCTACTAGTGCATAGTTTTCATTTTCTAGTCTTCTTGGTTTAGACCGCTTGGTTTCAATGTTCTAAGGCGGCGTATCCAGTATGATTCCTTTTCCTTCCTGGTTTCGGAACTCCAGCTGTGGTTGT